TTATCAAACAAATGATTGACTCCAAATTTGACAGCTTTTGCACATTAAGAATCAAAATTAGAATAATATTGTACAAATTACAAAGGCTCCTATTGAACGGTGTTGAAATAGGGTGTCAATGAAATGCATGAGAAAGTGACCATCGAATGTTTCAATCCGACCATGTACAAAATTGACATTGTTGTGTGTGACATTTGTTCTTCAGTTATCAAAATGGCGTTCAAGTAAGAGGAGCAACGCACCAAAATTTTGCACGCGCATCGCGAAAATCCAAACTACTCGCGCGCCGAGTACGTCAAGGCAGATTTCAAACAGGTTCCTGGTCAGGAGTTTTATACTGCAAACGGAAAGAGAAAAGTAGCAGACATTTTCAAGCATATGAAACTGTCGAAGTTCACTACGAAAGACCTGGTTTGGCAGGCTATCTGTACCTGTGGCGACATTTTCATTGCAACCAGGACCGTCAACCAGGAAATTTACATGACCGAGTGCCTGGAAAAACGTATGCTACCTTTCCTGAAGCCTGCCATTACTGAAAAAAAAGGCCATGGAGTGGTTGCCGCCAACAACGTGCAGGTGGTGCCCATGGACAAGAACCCTCCCAACACGCCAGAGCTCCGCCCAATCGAAAAATAATGGGCCATCGTCAAGCGGAACCTGAAGAAACAGGTGTATCTGAACCTTTCCAAGAAGACCGTTCTTCGCTCTTCTAAAGTCGGAAGACCAGCCACTTGGTTATTTGGCTGAAATCATTCCTTTTTATTTATTTCTACAGTAACCCCCCCTATCGTTAGGACGTCGATTCAGCTTATCGTTTACCAAAACGAACCCTGCTGCAAATCCTACCCTCTTATCCAACATCCCAGTGATTCCTCGTGGAAGTGCAGAGGATTTCTCGGCTTCCATCAAAGCGAGTGTCACGTCAACACATTCCTACCCATTCCTTTCTTGATCTGCGTTCGGGCGCGGCTGGCGCTGGTATTGCCTAGTTTGAGATCAGCAGTTTTTACACATTGAGAATGATTGCTAGTCCCAAGCATCGTCTATTGGTTCTCTGTGTAAGTACAGCTGATCTGGCAATAACTGGGCGGTCAATCATGCTCATGCTCTTCTAAAGTCGGAAGACCAATCAGGTGGACCTCAAAATTTCGCGTCCGTGGAGGACTGTTTAGGATCATCATATGGATCTTGTTCTGGATCCTTTGGAGTTTAAGGTGATGGTATTTTGCGCAACTTTCCCAGATTGACATACTGGACTCGACTACAGCAGCAAGCTTGTTTTTAACGGACATAGTGGATCTTCTTTTGATGAGCGGTTACAGGGATCTCATCAGGATGTTGCATTTTGTTGGATTCATGCATTATGAATTGAAATTACCCTTTGCATACACTTGTATGTATGTATGTATGTAAGGTAGCCACCACCATTTCGAAGATCTTGTCTTGTATGCAGCTCCACTTAATAGCAAGATCAATTTGAGCTACCGATCTGAATTCAAAATATCGCTGTATGAAGGGCCAAAACGGAGGGGTGGACCCGTCAGCAGAGGCACTTACGTGAAATCCACGGGAATTTAAGAATCTCCTTCCAACGATACGATCCAACAAATCGAATAACGCTATTCGCAATACTTATTAAGCTTCCTACAGGATGGTTTGTTAAGAAGGGCGCGTCAATCTCACTGAAACTGTTGGAGTAGAATTCACACCACCACAATCGAATCGGTATGATAAAGAAAATGATAGTGATTATTCCCTCCTAGACTTCGGTTATGTATAGTAAATATATGTAATGGAGAAATGAAATATATCAGAACTTAAAATACGTAACAATGAAAATACATTGTTGAAATGAAAATTATAATTATTTTACATACAATATGATGCAGCTCTATGTCTCTTCAGCTCCCAATATAAGGAAGATGTAACCCTGAAATTTCCAGGTTATATTATGCAAATAAATATTTTTAGCTCGAATGATACTTGACATTTTGGGATTAAACCCATGAGATTCTGCTCATTAAGCAAAACCGACCCCTCTAGGGTTGTCCAGCATCTCAAAACCACAACATTTCACGGCAAAACATGATTAAGCCCTCACTTGGTATGTAATGAACAAAAGAAATAAGGGATAATTCATATAGTTTCAGCGGCTGATGGTTAATTTTAAATATACTAACGGTACTGCCTACGGCGAATACGATAGCAGCTACGACGGCGAATACGACGGCGACTACGACGACGACAACAGCGAATTTGTAACTTACCACTTAGCTAGGATATAACACCTTTGCCCGGCACCTCCACTTGAGCTTAATGTCTGCTATCTGTCACTGTTTGCAAAAATATCAAATAGCAATTACCTTAGTTGTAATACTTCCTTCAACGAAAACAAATTTTCCTGCACTGCCATGGTCATCTGCGAGGAGGTTTGCGTCTAGTGCTTTCCCCTAGAACCGTTCACGGCCACCAGCTACCGCCCGTTCAGTCTTGGGCGTATCCAGCGAGGCATCCTTCAGCTAGCTCACAATCTCCGACAGTGGCGAGAGCAGAGCGTCACAATATCAGCTTCAATCGACCAAATCGATGCGACGAAGAGACTGCTGGCTTTCTTTTTCTGTTAAAATCGAACAGCTTCGCAGCATTCTAGAACCTCAGTCGGCGTGCACAAACAAATGTTCAATCGCTCGTCTCTCTTTCTCCCGTCGCTCCATTGGCCTTCCTTTCAAGCTTCGGTGAAACGGATGAGCGAAAGAGCGCTCGACTTTGATAGTTTTCTCTTTCATGAAACACATCAACAGAGGTTTCATGACGTATATGACGGAAAAGGAAATTACATATTTAAAGCATTTCTCACGTGAAATTGCTTGAAGATTACACGTAATATGTTTAATTTATCTTCCATCCACATATTTATCTAAAAAAAATTAACGAAAACGGGACTTAACGCATTTTAAACAAATTGAAAGAGCGGTGATAGAGTGTTCGTGAAAGGGGATTGGAGCTATAATGAGGTTTCGTTTAACTAGAAAATCGACGTTACTCACATTGAAATCGATGAGCAAAGCAACGACGAAAAGATCCACAGCCAGCGTTTCTAAGCGTGCTTCTTTTGCATTATCATTTCTTACTGATAGTCTAGCTAGGCGTTATAGAAATGAAGCGTTGAACACGTTTGTATGAGAGAAAGTTCATTTTAGAGCTTCGAAAATGTAGAGCCCTGGGCGAGAGACCAGCAGACGAGCACTTTTGCAAGCCGTAAACTCGCTGATTCACGGCAACGTCGGCCACCGAATCACCACCAAAACTCGCGACGGACACATTATCAGCACTGTCCCCAGCTAATTTATCAACCGGACCTTGTTCAAACTCGCACCCGGTGACGAGACTCTCGATGGAACTACACGCCGAAAGTGTAACAATCCGAACACGGTGAACCGGCCTCCCGGTAGGCAATGAAAATCACAAGCACACTTACACACCATTGGTTACAAAAAACACACCCGTGCAAAGAAACGGATCCAATATATCAATATCAATATACTATCGCGAAAGAAAACCCGTTGTCTTCGAACGGCAAAAAAAAGGAACTCGGTGAGCAATTTTGTTATACAGGATTTCCACTGAAAATCAAGCGGGAATGCACGAATTTCACAACACCCAACTGCGAAACACTTTCAGAAGCACTTTTGATACACTTTCGGTCGAAAACACTTAATTTTTTGCAAAAATAGTTGCGAGTGAACCAACATCAACACCAACCGTGCCGAGATCTTTCACGCACCTTACCTTGGTTTGGTATGAGAGAGTATAGAGAAGCTATAATCATTTTTTAGTTATCACCCGTTACAAATTGAAACATCAAATGATGAAATATGTAATTGCAATTTTTACGTGAAACTTGTTTTGTATTGCTCTCTTTTCTGAACGGGTTTTGAACAAAAAATAGAATATAATATTTCTGCAAAAGATAACTTTTAAATTTATTCACCTTTCCATACGTATCGTTGGATTTGATAAAGAGTCACAAATTGTTGAGATATTGTTTGAAATCTAATAATGCTTCTTGATTCTTAATTCGTCCTACGAGTTTCAATTCCGTCCTAACGCATTGAAACGCCATTAGATTTTCTTCGTCCTACGGATAAACGTAGAAAAACGGGATTCACTAGGAGCGCTTCTTTTGTATTGGGAACAATGAGCGTAAATATTCATGCAACGCGATCTAACAGGATTTATGTTGTAGCTAATGAACTAACGCATCTGAACAAACCTATTATTGATTTATGCACGGTGAAATTATTGATATAGTTGATCTATTCTGATCTATAGAACGTAAATGGGCGATTATGACGAAGTAGCGCTCTACCCTATGGTTATTTTATCTTCGCCCCAAATTGGTCCAATTAGCAATACAATATAATCGCGGATCATCCCAAAACCACCCGTCCCAAGTCGTCAAAAGTGTCCCATTCAAAATAATTGACGACAAATTCCATCACTTATTTCACAACCAAAGACCCGCTGGTCGTTGGAGATCTCCATCTATAAAAAAAATCTTTCCAATCAACCCCCGTGCCTAACGCGTGTCACTCATCACCTACTGTAAGCTGCGACACTGCCTGCCCATCTCCTCTTGAACCCTTCGCAGCACGAGGCCTTACGCAACGAGCTGCCTGCGCTCGCTGAAAATTGCAACTTTTGCAATCAAAATTCCCATGTCACCGCGTAGCTGTGCCGTGCTGACTAAGAAATGAGGGTTCAATTAAAGCAATCGCATCCGCTGATGGTGGGTTACAGCAACGGAACATGTTGTTATTTTTCTCGGTAAAGCTACAAATGTACACGCCATCTACTGATGACCGTTTTTTTTTTTGCTTAGAACACAAGTGACCATAAGTGACGAAGTGAACGACGGAACAAATAGTTCTCGATCATGTCGTTCTAACCACCGTACGAAGCCATAATTAATCGAAACATTTCATTCCATCCCATTGCAGATCCACCGGCAGATGAGCACCGAACAGTTGCGGGAGGTCTTCCACGTGGACCACCCGGACTCAGTACCACACTACGAGCTGATTCAGCTGACACACCACACCAATCAACCTTCGTTTCACTACCGCCGCAAAAGAAGCATAGAGACAGAACCAGGTTCAAAAGGCGGTAGCAGCGGCAACAGTCTACTGCAGCAAGGTGGTGGCACGAACAACCACCACGTGAAGAAAGATCTGAGCAAAGTGAAGTTTAGTGAGAAAGTGAGTGAGAGACAAGTTCCGGCCAAGAAGCGGACTGTTGCGAAACAACCTACGACGACGGCGCCGTCCGCGATCGTGGCAAGTGAACAGGAACAGATCCTGCCGGAAATGCAACCTCAACAACAACAACAACAACAACAGCCGGAAAGTGTTGATGAGAATGAAAGTGATAGAAGTGATGATAGCAAAAGTAGAATTAGTGATGCCAGCATACGGGACATCAACCAGCACCGGGTGTCTTTCAGTGCCTTCGGGGAGAACATGAACCTGACACTGGAGAAGACCGAGGGGCTGTTCCGCGATGGACCGCACTCGTTGCGCATGTGGAACGTGCGGGTCGACCCGAATGCGACGCAGGGTCTGGTCTACGAGGAAATACACGAAGAGGTGAGTTCAGACCCCTACCAACTAGGGGTTTATTTATTTTTTTTCTGATTCAAATTACATTCAAATCACTGCGCATTCAACGACTGCAATGGCGACGATCAGCATAAATTGTAACAACCAATCACAATCACCGGTGACAGAACGGTTGTCGGCCGGTCCGAGGTTGCGCTTTGGATGCTTAATCGAAGCTGCCACGCTATATTTAGCACATTTAGATGTATGGACTGCTGTTTTGCCCCTTTTTGGATCCCACATGGTTGGTGCGGGAGCTCTGATTCTTGTAAATTGTTCTTGAAGGTTCATGATTTCTGCTCACTCATGACACCGAAGGTCACGTTCTGAAGGTGGATTAATGTATTAATTCTGCTGCACACCGTTTGTCCGGCGTTCTAGGAACCGTAGTATTCCTTGGACTTGGACAGGTGGCATTCTGGAGAGCCAAGATTTATAACTGCGTTCGGTGTGAACCGAGCTGCCCGCGCAGGTAGCTCATTTGAATAAATATTTAGACCTTTCGGATCATAGCATACATCTAAATAATAACAGTCCGGTGAGCGCAAAAACAAAACCGCTTCGGCAGAGTGACAAGTGAAACTAAATGGTAATTTTTGTTGTGTCGGTGTTTTTATTTTTGCAATTCACAACAGATGTGTGGACCTCTAATGAGTTGACATGCGATACTCTGCTTGCACCGCGCTGGTGAATGGTGGACAATGTAGGTGCTATTTTTTTCCAATATAAGGCATCTTGCTGCTAATTTGCAGTGCATCTGGGGCAGTCTGATTGCACATGATGGTAACATTGAAGCTTTCAATTGTATGAATTTTTATGAACTTAATGGGAACAGTGAAAGGCTAGGGTAAATGACCCTCACAAAAGGTGTTAATTTAGAATGGGTTTTCAGTGGCATATCATGTGAGCATAATTTTGTTTGATTCGATGTGTACTCTCCAGTATTGAAGGCCATAAATGGCATAAAGGCCATTCAGCGTATTGAAAGCTGAGACCAAATCCTTAGGCTAATTTGCCTATATTTCAAATATAAGTTCTGCATCTATAAACATGGTTCGGGGAATTCAAGTAGCACTGAGTTTAACAGAATCTGCTCGAAGCCAAAACTCAAGGGTGCAGTTTAGTTTCTACATAGAGATTATTTTGTTTTTGGTGGCTGCTAGAATGAAATGGGTGAGTGCTAGGCCGAATGAAATTGGGCTAGGACGAATGAAGTTAGGGCAAACTCCACTAGGCGCACCGCAAAGTAACAAACAAGCTCGTTAATCGCCCTTTTTGCTATAAAGGCTGCTATACGACTGATATAAAGTTCGGAAACCCTATATTTACTTTATATCGCAAAAAGGGCGATTATCGGGTAGTTAGCGGGCTTGGTGGATTCAAATTGCAAACACGACATCTGTGACCACTATGTTTTCCAATAATTTTTAGATGGTGTTTACTAGGACAATGTCCTGTTATTAACCCAGTGCACAATGGGAGATTTTTTTTTCAAAAACAAAAAGGCATGTGATAAGATATAAGATATCTGGACATTCAATTTTCGCCGTAATTAATTGAGAGTTTTCGGTGCCTGTACCATTCTTGCATTATTATAATTGTATGGTGAGTACAACCATACTTTATGCCCAAAGGAAGTCGAGAAGTTTTCCAACCCGAAAAGTTCCTAGACCGGAACGGGATTCAAACCCAGCCACCTGCAGCATGATCTTGCTTTGTAGCTGTGCCTTTGCCGACTGAGCTAAGGGAGCCTTAAACTACTGTGCCAGATTATGCACGAGTACGGATTTCCGGATAAACTGACGCGATTGGTCAAGGTGATGATGGATCGAGTGATGTGCGTTGTTCGAGTATCGGGGACACTCTCGAGTCCCTTTGAATCTCGAAGGGGGTTACGGCAGGGTGATGGACTTTCGTGTCTGCTGTTCAACATCGCGTTAGAAGGTGTGATCAGAAGAGCTGGGATAGACACGAGTGGCACGATATTCAGGAAGTCCATCCAGCTCCTTGGTTTCGCCGATGATATTGACATTATGGCACGGAACTTTGAGATGATGGCGGAAACGTACATCAGACTGAAGACTGAAGCTAGACGGATTGGACTTGCCATCAACGCATCAAAGACAAAATACATGAAAGCAAGAGGTTCTAGGGAAGACAATGTTAGCCTCCCACCCCGAGTTCAGATTGACGGTGACGAAATCGAGGTGGTCGATGAGTTCGTGTATGTGGGCTCACTGGTGACCGCCGAAAATGATACCAGCAGAGAAATTCAAAGACGCATTATGGCAGGGAATCGTGTCTACTTTGGACTCCGGAGGACGCTCCAGTCGAATAAAATTCGCCGCCGCACGAAGTTGACTGTCTACAAGACGCTGATTAGACCGGTGGTCCTTTACGGCCACGAGACCTGGACTATGCTCGTGGAGGACCAACGCGCCCTTGGCGTTTTCGAACGGAAGGTGTTGCGTACCATCTACGGTGGAGTGCAGATGGATGACGGAACGTGGAGGAGGCGAAAGAACCACGAATTGCACCAGCTGCTGGGAGAACCATCCATCGTCTACATTGCAAAAATTGAGCGACTACGGTGGGCTGGGCACGTCGTAAGAATGTCGACGACCCAGTGAAAATTGTTCTAGGCGACCCAACAGGAACAAGAAGAAGAGGCGCGCAGCGGGCAAGGTGAATCGACCAAGTAGAAGGTGACCTGCGGACCCTTCGCAGACTACGAGGCTGGCGAACTGTGGCCATGGATCGAGTAGAGTGGAGACGACTTCTTCGGACAGCAGAGGACAACAAGGCCTTAGCCTGATTGGTAAGGTAAGTAAACTACACAAAAATAATCCGTGTCGTGAGGTTTTCAATTTCGTATCAAAAATGCTATCTTCTGATGTATAAATAATCCATCATATCCAGTGGCATTTTGAAATATTGAGGGATGAGTGCCTTTTTTTTAAACAAAAATCACATTGTGCAGTGTAGGCGCATAAATCTTCTGTAGAAAAATTGAGTAACCTTTGCGTATTCAAAACGTCTGCCTTTATGAATTGTTTCGATTACCGGTTTGTTGACGTATTATTTCAAATGGATTGTAACTTGCTTTTTCAGTATTTTAATTCCATCTTCAGATTAGAAGGCGATATACCAATTAACGGATCTGGATTAACAAATTTCTGGGTTGAGTCTAGTTTTGCTAATTGATCAGCTTTTTTATTTCCTTCAATTCTGGAATGACCAGGAACCCAATATAAATTTACTTTGTTACGACAGGACGATTATAGCATTCTCACACAAACTTTGAAACGTAGATCATTGATTTTCAATGTTGCTTGGCTATCCGAAAAAATGCATATGTTTGGATTGCTATACTTTTTCAAAAGCAAATCTCAACACATTCTAGAACCATTAGTATTTCCGCTTGAAATACTGTTTTCTTATTAGTCATTCCTACAGAACAAATGATTTCGGGGCCTGTTATTCTTGCTCTCGTCCTATTATCCTTCTTCGAGTAGACTTGTGCGCCGGTTATTTCATCAGTGGCGGTGGTGTAGAAACCATTTTTGTCTCGGCGGCTACGACGTGAATTGCATATTTCGCACCTATAGAAATATTGAACTCCTTAATGTTAACTAGATATCGAATTCATAAGTTGAGCTAACCAATTCTGTTCTAATAGTGCTGATGTTTTCAAATTTGAATTTGATCTTTAAATGTTCTTGTTTTTGGTAGCGGGTATTTTTGCTATTAAATTGAGTACTTTTCACCATTGGCCATGGACACTTTCTACCTGTACGCTGACAGCTCACCATTTACTCTCATCATTCGACCTTTTGTCCATTCGAATTTCTGTTACCATTCTCATTATTCGATCTTTGATTCCTCTTTGAATCACGTGACTTTTTGTCCATTTAACATTTTTTACCTTCCATCTTTTGCCATTCGACCTTCCACCTAGATGACGGGTCGTCGCTCACTTTGGTAGAGAAGGAAGTTGCGGACCAGCTCGGTATGGAAGGGGAACTGGAGCCACTTTGTCTACAATGGACAGGAAACGTAACGAGAATGGAGTCGGAGTCAAGGGTCATCCAACTCGGCACATCTGGGACGGATAGTAGCAAGCGTCATACTCTCGAGTGCGTACGTACGGTTGATTGTTCGGATCTTCCTCCGCAGTCTTTGCAATTCAATCAACTGGTTCAACAGTTTCCTTACCTTCGGGGTCTTCCGGTGAAAAGTTATAACGGAGCCACCCCTCGCATCCTAATTGGTTTGGAGAACACGGAGCTACTAGTAACGTTAAAGAAACGAACAGGTAGACCTTCTGAACCAGTCGCAACGAAAACTAAACTTGGTTGGAAGGCCTGAACGAACCATTTGAACACCGTCTTCTGCACATCTGTTCTGGTTCCAATAATCGGGAACTACACGACGTTGTCAAGGAGTTTTTCTGGATCAAAAACACTGGTGTAGTGGCTGGGCCAGCGGTAGAAGTAGAAGATGTCCGACGGGCACGGGAGATCATGCAACGGACCACGGTTCGCACAGCTTCCGGAAGGTTTGAGACGGGCTTGCTGTGGCGCTATGATTATATCGAATTTCCGAACAGTAGACCGATGGCAGAGCGGTGTCTTAAGTGCCTAGTGCGAAGCCTAGAGAAAACACCTGAACTCTACGAATACGTCAGGCAGCAGATTGCTTTTTACGAGTCCAAAGGATACGCTCATCGAGCATCGGCGGAAGAGTTGGCCAAATTTGACCCTCGAAGAACTTGGTATCTTCCCCTCGGAGTGGTTATTAATCCAAACAAGCCGGGAAAAATTCGAGTGGTTTGGGATGCGGCGGCGAAGGTGGATGGAGTCTCGTATAGCTCTATGCTTCTGAAGGGACCGGAGCTGTTCGCGTCTCTTCCTGCGGTTCTACAGCGTTTTCGTCAACGGCAGATAGCAGTAACGGGTGATAGCAGAGAAATGTTTCACCAGCTCCTG